ATGTGACTACATAAGTTTCACAAGACTGGGGCCTACTTAGCTAAAGTCACAGAAACCTCTTAACCTTCACAATCATTATCTTCATCTACAAAGCTTATGAACACCATGAACTTTAACAATAAAACTACTTCTAACAAATTGGGTGATATGTACATTTCCTTCCTTAGTATCAGCTGTTCCCTCTTTCTCTTTCTCTCTCTTTTTTGTTTTTTTCCAGTAGTATTAGGGTTTGAACTCAGAGCCTTGCTCTACCATTTGATTCATGCTCCCAGTCCTTTTTGCATTTCTTAGTTTTTTAATAAGATTTTGGTTTTTCTCAGGCCAACCTAGACTGTGATCCTCCTGTATTTCCCACGTAGCTAGAATGTCAGGCATGTGCCATCACATTCAGCTTTTAGTGTTTGAGATGGTAGCTCACAAACATTTTGCTCAGCATGGCCTTGAACTTCAGTCCTTCCGATCTCAGCCTCTCAACTAGGCGTTAGTGTAGGTTTGAACCACTGTCCCTGCCTGTCAGTGCATTTTTCAAACATGGATGACAGCACTGTGTGTGTAAAATGTCAACTCCCGCCGTGTCTGCTTCTTTTCACTTGACATTATTTGCTATGACTTTGATCATATTTAGATGTGCTCTTCTCGTATATGTGTGTGTGTGTGTGTGTGTGTGTTTTAGTATATTATGCCGTGTTTAACCGCCACTCAGACAATGGTTCAAAGAATCGGGATACCCTAGAGTCCTTTGATCCGTAATGCACCTTATTTTACATGAATGTTTATCTGAGGCTCTCATTATGGAAATAAATAAATATCCTCTCTGCTAATAATGACCATCATTTGCATTTATATTGTGCCTTTCACTGGAGGATCTTAAGTTGTTTTACAATAATGAACTACCTCGCGCGCGTGAGCACAAATGCATGTGTGTGCATCTGTATGCACGGGCGAGCTGTACACAGATATTTATTTAATAACTACCGGGCGATTTCTGTGGGAAATCGCATCGCTGTGTCATAGTAGCATGCGGGACCGCGAGCGGAAGCTTCTCAACTTGTCCCCCAACACTCAGCTGTAGGTCCAGGAGCTGGGCTAAGCGTGGCTGCCTGGAAGCCAGGAGTGATGTGCATTTGAGGGCTCGATCTTGACGGAACAGACAGCTCAGATCTACAATGCAGGCCTCCAGCTCCTTAGTTGAAAACCTGGCATTTGGGAAATAACTAGAGCAAGGTCTAGTTTGGGCCAGTAACGCCAACAGAGACCACCCATTGCGCTTACTTGGCATGAAGGGGGCGTTAGTTCCCACTTAGGGAAAGTGGTGTGGGATGAGAAATGATCGCCTTGGGGTTTACAAGGCTGAGTCACTTGCTTTGAAGAAGTTGGCTCATGAATATAGGCGGGACCTTTGTTCCTGGGACCTCCATCATTTGCTCCCCCGCTGGCTGCTCCAGAGTCCCAGCCTGCCTGCCTGCCTGCTTGCCTGCTGAGCCCCAGCGCTGGTTTCTGGGGCTCCAGTCTTTCCTACAGGGAAAGGAGGGAGCCACTGTTGCAGAAGGAGCCAGGAGAAACCCAGGCCCCCCAGGGACAGGGAGAGAGATGGTTTTAATTAGAGCTGAGAGCTGGAAAATAAGACAGAGACGGATGACATCTTAATGAGGTTTAATGAAGCTGTCTGCTGATGCGGACAGCTGTCACCCAGAGCTGTACTGCAGCCAAGCCACTTGGTGACAGAGGAAACTCGGGGGAAAGGCACAGTTTGAAGGCAGCTAAGGGATGTGTGGCAGCCACACCTCATTTTAGACCTCCTGAACAAGAGACTCCGGCGAGAGAACCCAGTCTGGGTGACGGATGATTGTCTGCAGTTCCCTGCCTTGCAAAGCCACAGTGGGCCTGGTTAATAACCTTCAGGATTGCATGGGAGGTGCTTGAAGAATTCAGCCAGAAGAAGGTGACTGGCGCTGGCAGCTCACGCCTGTAATCCTAGCAATTCAGGAGGCTGAAATCTGAGGATCATGGTTCAAAGCCAACCCAAGCAGGAAAGTCTGTGGGACTCTTATCTCCAATCCACCAGAAAATCCAAAGTGGAGTCATGGCTCAAAGTGGTAGAGCACTAGTCTTGAGCAAAAGAGCTCAGGGACAGCGACCAGGCCCTGAGTTTAAGCCCCATGATGGATGGGAAAAAGGAGAAGGAGGAAGAGAAGAAGGAGGAGGAGGAGGGAAACAACATAGTTTTGTGGGAAAGGAAAAGCTGATTTCTATTTATTTGTTTTTGTAGCTAAATGACAGGTATGAGTCACAGGCACCCAATTGAAAAGCTGATGTTTTAATGATGATGGTTCTGGTTTTGTGGTGTTGGTCATGGGGCTTGAGCTGTGCCTGGGTTCTGTTCCCCAAGCTTTCATGCTCAAGTCTAATGCTCTACCACATGAGCACAGCTCCACTTCTGACTTTTTGGTGTCAATTGGAGATTAGAGTCCCATGGACTTTCCTGCTCAGGCTGGCTTTGAACCACGATCCTTAGATCTCAGCTTCCTGAGTAGCTGGGATTACAGGCATGAGCCACTAGTGCCCAATACAGATGGTGTTTCAAGAGTTCTCAGTAAAGCTGATCTGTGTGGTCCTGAGGAGCTGTCTATTACTCTTGGGTGTCCAGGAAGTATGGTTGAATGATAGGCAGGCAGACGTGTAACAAACACCACCAAACTGCTTTCCACTGTGCTTATACTACTCCACCAAGATCATCAGACCCTTGGCTGCTCCAAATCCTGCCAATAGCATTGAGATCTGACTTTGTCCACCTTGCCATACAGATCTTGGCTCCTGGGACATCCTTGTAATACAATACCTATTTAAGTCTTCTGCTGTTTTTTTTTTCTATCAGAGTACTTTCCCTGTTGATTTATGGCTGCTCTTTATATATGAAGGGCACAGAAGTTTCATCAGATATATGCATTGCAAATATCTTCTCTTACTTTGTGGCCTCAGTTATTTTTTTGTTTTGTTTATTTTTTGTTGCTTGTGGGGCTTGAACTCTGGGCTTGGGAGCTGTTCCTGTGTTCTTCAGCTCAAGGCGAGTGCTCTACCAGTTATCTAGTGGTTTATTGGAGATAAGAGTCTCCCAGAGTTTCTTGTCCAGGCTGGCTTTGAACCACAATCCTCAGATCTCAGCATCCTGAGTAGCTAGGATTACAGGCGTGAGCTACCAGTGCCCGGCTATGGCCTCAGATTTTTTGAGCTTGAGCCCTTTGAGCTTTCCTACATCACAGTCCTTGGGATACTCAACTGTCATCATGTGTCCTTTGTGGGTGTGTGACCATGAATGTCCCGAGCCCAGAGGTCTGAGCCTGTCCTGTTCTCCTTAGAGCTCCAAGCACAGCGCTCAGCACAGGTGACACACAAATGCATGTGGAGTGAAAGCATAAGCAACTCCTGTTGGCCAATGTCTTCTGCAGCTAGATTCCAGAAGCACCAAGTCCAAGGCACCTGCCCGCCGTTCCCCACTGCCCGCTCCCTGCTGGAGGGTGGCTGTCTCCTGCCAGCTGGAAGTCTGCCCACCTGCCTCTGCCCCTGCCCCCCAGGCGCTGCGCCTCTTCTGGGGAGGCCCCGTTTTAATTACCTTGCCACCGTCCCTGGGAAGGCCGCCTGGTTTCCTAAACAAATGAGGGGCCAGGGCTTTGTCTGCAGCCCAGAGTGAGCCTCACGGGAGGACTTGCGGCAGATTACCCAGCAGAGGTGGACACTCAGGACCCCTGGATCTAGACCCTCTGTCTGGAGTCTGGGATTTGAGATGGAGAGAAATAAGGAGCTGCTGGGGGTGTGGGGGGAGACTGAGGAGGACAAGGTCATGGAGGCATGCTGTGTCCTCCAAAACTCATAGGTGAAAATCCTGGAAGCCCCCTGCAGGTAATTAGTCATGAGGGGGGTCCGGGGGACAAAGCTGCTCTCCTCAGCCTGTGAGATGTGCAGTCTACACACAGGAGGCCGATGACATCTCCTGGGCTCAGCCCACAATGAGGAGTGCTCTAGGTCAACGCCAATCCCAGAAGGCTTCCTGGAGGAAGAGGCTTCTGTGCAGGGCATTGTTCCATACTTGCTCTGTATAATACAAAAGGCACAACCAGATGGTGTAGGAACTTAGGGTCTAAACAAGGTGGTCCAACCTGGACATCCTTGGAAATGAAGTTCATTCTAAGTCCCAAATGAACAAGAGAGCTTATATGCAGAGGGGCTCTGGACCCTGGGCAGGGCGGGACCCCCCTGTCTCATGGGGGCATGGCTCTGGAGAGAAGCAGTCTGGGAGGGCAGGGCAGTAAAGAGCTCCACTAGAGCCAGGCTGGTGGCTCACGCCTGTAATCCCAGCCACTCAGGAGCTGAGATCTGAGAGCCATGGTTCCAAAGACTCTTACCACCAATTAACCACCAAAAAGCTGAAAGTGGTGGTGTGACTCAAGTGGTAGAGCGCCTGGACCCTGAGTTCAAGCCCAGTCCCAGCACAGGTGCACCTGCCTGCCACATCCAGCCCGTCCCTCAGGAACCCTGGATAAGGCCTGAATTTATTTAGCTAGAAAATGGGAGGCTTGGCGAGGTTAATAGCAGGTCAGCTTCCTTCCTTACAGACCCCTTCTGGGAATCAAAGAGCCAAAGCATTCCGCCCCCTAGAACCCACTGTCCAGGGGCCGGGGTGGGGGCCAGAGGCGCCGACCTCATGTTCCCACCCCAAGGCGAGGAGTCAGAGGGGAGGGGCCATCTTTGGTGGGGATGGAAGAGCTACCTCGCCCCCTTCCCCCTCCTCCAGTGCCTCCTTGAACTTGCCCTTACTGCCCAGGTGCCACCAGACACAGGTACCCAGCTTGGCAGTGGCCCAGGCCCGCTCTCCAGCTGGCAGATGGGTCACAGAGCCCGGGCCCCGCCATCCCCTGCCGAGCATGCCTCAGTATCCCCGCCTGCAGCGGCTCCTTGGGGTGCGGGGAACATGCTCTTACCTCTCCCTCTCCTTCCCCCAACAGGCAGAGCTGGGCAAGCCAAGGGAGAGAAACTGCAGCCTGCCCGGTGTTGAATTCAACTACGGCCTCTACACCCGGGGCCTGGACGGAGGGGTCCCCGAAGGTGAGGCACAGGGCGCCGAGCCGGGTTGGCATGCCCCTCCCCGCCCTGAGCGCTCAGCTCCCGGCCGGTGGAGATGACGCCAGTCTGTGGCTGTGGCAGTGGCAGGGCCACAGGCCATGGATGGATAAATGGGGAGGACCACACAGGGACTAGGAATGGGGGGGCTGGAGGATCAACTAGGGCAGCCTCAGGAAGGGATTGGGGATCTGCCCATGCTTTATGCTGATGGAGCTTCGAGAATAGAACCAAAGCTGAGCATCATGGCTCACGTTTGTAATCCCAACTACTCAGGGGGCTGAGATAGTAGGATCACCATTCTAAGACAGTTTGGGGCAGGAAAGTCTTTTTTGTTGGTGGTGGTAGTGGTCTTGGGACTTGAACTCTGGGCCTGGGCACTGTTCCTCAGCAGCTCAAGACAAGCACTCTACCACTTGAGCTACAGCATCACTTCTGGTTTTCTGGTGCTTAATTGGAGATAAGAGTCTCACAGAGGGCTGGGAAGGTGGCTCAGTGGTAGAGTGCTTACCTTGCATGCATGAGGACCTGGGTTTGATCCCTCAGCACCACATACACAGAAAAAACTGGGAGTGGCACTGTGGCTCAAGTGGTAGAGTGCTAGCCTTGAGCTGAAGAGCACAGGGACAGTGCCCAGGCCCAGAATTCAAGCCCCACGACCAACCCCCCCCCCCATCCCCCCAAAAAAAGGAGTCTCGTGCCCAAGCTGTCTTTGAACTGTGATCCTCAGATCTCAGCCTCCTGAGTAGCTAGGATTACAGGCGTGAGCCACTGGTACCCAGCTAGGAAAGTCTTTTTATCCAATGAACCACCAAAAAAACAGAAATGGAGCTATGGCTCAAGTAGTAGAGCAACAGCCTGGAGCACAAAAGCGGAGGGACATCTTCCAGGCTCCAAGTTCAAGCCCCAGGATATACACACATGTGTACACACACACACACACACACACACACACACACAAAATGCAAGCCTCTGATGGCCCCACTGGGGTCAAGGCCAGACAAGCCCACTCCATGGCAGACACTCCAGGACCTGTGGGAATCCCTCTTTTTCAGGTCTCATGGTTTCCAGGGCATGCAGGGCCGTTACCGGCACTGTGGGATGAGGGAGCCCTGATTCTTCTCTGCCGCCTCGGGCTCTTCACCCCAGTTGTCTTCCTGTCCCCAGCCATCGGGCACTGGAACGTGCTTAAGCAGCAGCCCACCTGCCCCCAGGAGCTGACCCGGAACTACATCGCCATGAACCGAGGGGCGGTGAAAGCCGGCCTGGTGACGGCCCACGAGAACGTTCTCTACCGGAGGCTCAATGACATCCGCATCAGTGAGCAGGATGACAGGCGCCTGAAGAAGGAGCCACCGTCCATCCCTGCGGACATGACTTTCGGGATCCAGTCACGGTGAGGCCCCTGTGCCCTCCCCCGGGTCTGTGACGTGGCTGGGGGTCCTCATTCCTCGTCTCCATCAGGCAGAAAACGGAAGGGAAGGACTCAAGAAGATGGAGTGGAAAGTGGGGAGATGGATTACAGGACCCAGGTTCAATCCTGGCCTCTGGCTGTGATTACCGAGGGCCACGCCTCGGTTTCTGATACCCAGGGCATTCTGTGACCTGCTGCTCAGTGCGGAGCTGGGGCTCTGGGACCCCTTCATAAATGTCAGTTCCCACCCTGCAGTATAAGCTGCAGACTCAAGATCTATGACATTTTGGCTAGGAAGGTGCCTCAGTGGTAGAGTGCATGAAGCCCTGGGTTCAATTGCTCAGCACCACATAAGCTTGAAGTGGCGCTGTAGCTCAAGTGGTAGAACACTAGTCTTGAGCGGAAGAGCTGAGGGACAGCACTCAGGCCCAGAGTTCAAGCCCCACAACCAACCAAAATAAAACAAAACAAAACAAAACAAAAAAAAAGATCTATGACATTTGAAGAAATATTACCAAGATTTGACTTAGGCATCATCAAGTGCATAGACCACCAAGTGTTCATCTTAATGAAGTTTGCAAGTGGAAATGCTCCTGTAAAACCACTCATAGACATCGCTCAGTACCCTGGCTCACACCTGAGATCCCAGCTACTTGGGAGGGTTAGAGATCGGGAGGAGGGAGGTTCAAGGCCAGCCAGCAGGGGAAAAAGTTTTTGAGACTCCCGTTTTTTTTCAGCCACTATAGCTGGGCTTGGTGGCATACACCGGCCTCCTTGGGAGGGGAGGCTCCTGGTTCCAGGCCAGCTCTAGTTAAAAAGAAAACAGCAAACCCAGTTGGCCCACCAGGAAGCTCCAGAGTTACCTGGGAAACATCTGTTTGTTTTGTTTTACTGGTCTTGGGGCTTGAAGTCTGGGCCTGGGCGCTGTCCCTCAGCTCTTCAGCTCAAGGCCAGGGCTCTACCACTTGAGCCACGGCGCCACTTCTGGTTTTCTGGTGGTTCATTGGAGATAAGAGTCTCACAGACTTTCCTGCCTAGGCTGGCTTTGAATCATGATCCTCAGATCTCAGCCTCCTGAGTAGCTAGGATTACAGGCGTGAGCCACCAGCGCGTGGCAAAACATCTGTTCTTTGGTGCCATGACCACACAGACCAGGGAGTTTATTGCATGTTCTCAGCAGGTCCCTATCCTCACCAGCTCTTTTGAGTATACATGCAAGATCATTAGTCATTCTACTTGCATTTTTTCACAGTAGTAGGATTTATTGTTTGTTTTTCCAAATTTTTTATTGTGATTAAGTGGTTACATAATTTCCCAAGTTTCACAGTATTTGGGATAGTGATGCGTAGTTAAAGTCACAAACACATTCTAACTTTCATGGAGTAGTAGGATTTGAACCTGGGGCCTTGTACTTGCTAGGCAGGCACTCGACCAGTTGAGGCATATCTCCATACCTTTTGCTTTTTGTTTCACTAACTTTTCCCTGTGCTGGGCCGAGACTATGATCCTCCTACCCTTGCCTCCTGATTAACTGGGACTACATGCGTGTACTGCTATGCCCTACCTTTCTCTGTATATATATATATGTATATATATATATATATTTTTTTTTTGGTCAGTCATGGGGCTTGAACTCTGGGCTTGGGCACAGTCCCTGTGCTCTTCAGCTCAAAGCAAGTGTTCTACCGCTTGAACCACAGGGCCACTGGTTTTCTGGTGGTTTATTGGAGATAGGAGTCTCACAGTCTCCTGCCCGGGCTGGCTTTGAACCACAATTCTCAGATCTCAGCCTACTGAGTAGCTAGGATTACAGGCGTGAGCCACCGGCGCCCGGCTTCTGTATAATGTTTTGAGGAGCTGCCATGCTATTTTTTGTGTGTAAGCTACCCCAATTGTGTGTGCTTTCCCCTCTGCCTGTTCTTACCTGGCAAGAGCCTCTCGCTCTTCAAAGTTCAACTCAGCACCTTCTTTCTGGAAGCCTCCCATCTCCTGTGGCTTGTTTGCTAGTCAATCTGACCAGAAGTGCACTTTTTTTGTTGTTGTTGGTCGTGGGGCTTGAACTCTGGGCTTGGGCGCTGTCCCTGTGCTCTTTAGCTCAAGGCGAGCACTCTACCACTTGAACCACAGCGCCACTTCTGGTTTTCTGTGGTTAATGGAGATAAGAGTCTCATGGACTTTCCTGCCTGGCCTGGCTTTGAACATTGATCCTCAAATCTCAGTCTCCTGAGTAGCTAGGATTACTGGCGTGAGCCTCTGGCGCCCGGCCAGAAATGCACTTCTGTGCCCCAGCTTCTAGCGCCCTCAGTGGTTATTGGAGACACACTGGAACATTCTCCTGGACTGGATTATCTATCCCTGTTCATACCACCTTCCTGCCACTCCTCCTCCCTGCAGCGTCTGCCTCTTTGCCCCTGCTGATAGCCCTGTCCACACCTCAAAAACAGATCACAGGGTTTGTCTATGCTGGATACACTGTCCAAATACAGTGCAGTGTTGAGGGAGGAGCCTGGGCCAGGGCTGGCCTGAGCTGTTCCCCTCTCCAGCAGAAAGACCTGACTCATATGCTGTGTGACCTTGAAAATGCTCTTCGCCTCTCTGAACTTCTTTCTACTCTCTTGTAATTGGATAATTTTTTTGTCAGTACTAGATTTTTAACTCAGGGCCTCACGTTTGCTTTGCCTACTTGCTCATTCTGTTGGAACTCTACCACCTGAGCCACGCCTCCAGCTTGGTCTCCTGTCTGAAATAAGAACTTTCAACCAACTGATTACTGTGTCTGAAGTTTTAATATCACTTGCCCAGACTTCTGGTTCCTCCTCTATAAATAGGGCATCACACCAGGAATCGGGCATTTTGTGATTCTCAAAAACTGTGCAATTCGGGGCTGGGAAGGTGGCTCAGTGGTAGAGCGCTTGCCTTGCATGCATGAGGCCCTGGGTTTGATTCCTCAGCACCACATAGCAGGAAAAAAAAAAGCCGGAAGTGGTGCTGTGGCTCAAGTGGTAGAGCCCTAGCCTTGAGCTGAAGAGCTGAGGGACAGCGCCCAGACCCAGAGTTCAGGCCCCACGACCAGACCCCCCCCAAAAAAAAAAAAAAAGAGAGAGAATTTAGAAAGTTCAGAGAGGTGAAGAAAATGTCCCCAGATCACACAGCAGAGTGCTGGCAGACCCAGGCTGGCGGAGCCAGGCTGCAGCTGCCCTGTTCAGGGTTGACCAGAGCTAAGTGCAGTATAAAATACCCACAATGCTGCTAGGCACTAGTGGTTCAATTTTTAATCCTAGCTACTCAGGAGGCTGAGCTCTAAGGATGGTAGTTCAAAGCCAGCCCAAGCAGTGAAGTCTATGTGACTCTTGTCTTCCAGCAAAAAGCTGGAAGTAGAGGTATGACTCAAACATTAGAATGCCTTGAATGAAAAATGTTAAGGGACAGCACTCAGACCCTGAGTTCAAGCCCTAGTACCACCCCCTCCTCCAAAAGCCCATCCCCAGTTTGGGGTCCTGAGGCTACAGTTTTCCCTGGAGCCGCTGCTGTCAGACAAGCTGGGAAGGGACATGCATTATCATCAGCTTCTGATATAAAATCTTAAGTTGCTATAAAACTGAGCGGGTGAAATTCCAGGGCGAGTGTATGATGAAGGGCGAGTTCTATTTTCTAGGATAGAGAGTGGGCTTTGCATATGTAAATTGAATGGATTTTAAAATGGTATTTAATGACAATTTTCGTGGCAGACATTAACAATAATTGCTCCAAAATGAAAATGCTACATTAGGTTGTGGTAACCAGCGAATACCAGGGCTATAAAGCTTTATCTTTATCAACAACAGCCCTTCCCAAAGTGACAGGCCACTTAGCAAATGGCAGGAACAGGGCTTTTACCGAACACAGCCTCCCCCCAAGCTGGCTGAATCGGTATCATTTCGCTTTATTTCTTCATAAATGGAGGTTAAATGGTAGCTGCAAAAGCTTTTACTGAGATGCCCAGCTCTCCCGGCAACCCTTCACCCTTCCAATGGAAAGGAAGGGGCCGGGCCCCAAGCCCAGCGCCCCTCCCCATAATGGAACTATTACTTTGAAGTTATGTGGCCATGCCCAGTCCCTAATGATTGCCTTTTATACGCTTTGATTGTATTTATTTCTTTACTTTAAAAGCATGTTAAAAACCAAATCTGATTATACTCGACTCCCGAGGAATCCTTGAGGATGATTTGGTCTAATAAAAAAGAAACAAACGTTCACCATTCATGCAGAAGTACAGATGTGTTCACAGACATGAGGCCCTCAGTTCAAGCCCCAGTACTGGCACAAACAACCCACCATAATTTAAAAAGTAAACTCAGGCTGGGAAGGTGGCTCAGTGGTAGAGTGCTTGCCTAGCATGCATGAAGCCCTGGGTTCAATTCCTCATTACCACATACACAGAAAAAAGCCAGAAGTGGTGCTGTGGCTCAAGTGGTAAAATGCTAGCCTTGAGTAAAAGTAACTTAGGGACAGTGCCAAGGCCCTGAGTTCAAGCCCCAGGACTGGCAAAAAATAAAAATAAAAATAAATTCTTGGTATAAGACATGTCAAAATAACAATCATGATAATAACAATAGTAATAGGGGCTAGGAAGGTGGCTCAGTGGTAGAGCACTTGCCTTGCATGCCTGAGGCCCTGGGTTCGATTCCTCAGAACCACATAAGCAAAAAGTAAAAAAGCCGGAAGTGGCGCTGTGGCTCAAGTGGTAGAGTGCTAGCCTTGAGCTGAAGAGCTGAGGGACAGCGCCCAGGCCCAGAGTTCAGGCCCCACAACCGGACCCAAAAAAACAAAAACAAAACAAAAAGAATAACAATAGTAATAATTACCCGATTACTTCCCTCCCAGCTTCCAGCTCCCAGTTCCCAGGGCCTCAGTGCCTGGGCACCTGCTGTGGGATCTCCCACAGGCCCTGGCTTCCATCCCTAGCACCAGTTTGGAAAAGGCTGGACTTCTTGCTTCTCTAG